TTTGCATTGATTTGAGATCTTTGAGCTCAGGGTTCTTGTTTCCTTCATCCTTGTGCACAGGGCAGACCCTGTACACACAGGAGACTGGGGGTTTGAGGGAAAAGAGGAACCCTCATGTTTGCCTGGATGGGGAGGGCAGCAGGAGGAGGTACAGCACCCTTCTCCCCTCCCCTCCTCTGCATTTCTGGTGGTTGACGGAGCTAGTAGTGGTCCTACATTCAGGCAGGATTGAGGCTCCCCCGCAACACACACACACACACACACACACACACACACACACACTTTGTATATCATCTGGAGGCAGGTGTACTCAGCTAGTGAGAGCTCCTTCCAGGAGGAGACTGAGAAGCAAACACATCATTAAAATACCAAGTCTGGCCATGCCCCGAAATTGATAAACCTCTAGCTGGTCTAATAAAGAGAAAAGACACACGTTATCTCTGTCAGTGGATATAACCACAGATCCTACGGACATGAAAAGGATAAGGAAATGTTATATGCAATTTTATGCTAGTAAATTCAGTGACTTAGGTGAAAAGGATATTCCTTGAAAGCTACAAATTAATGACGGACTCAAGAAGAAATAGAAAATCTAGAGCCCAATACCTAGAACCTCACAAAGAAAACTTCAGGCCAAGATGGCTTCACTTAAGTCTTACACATTTAAGGAAGAAATAATACCAATCTTGCACAACCCTGGTTTTATCTGTAAAAGTTGTTCCTGGCAGAATGATTTCCAACATTATGAAACATTAGGCAGGCTGATGGCAGTCCCAGCCCTCAACTACCCTCCCCAATAACACACACTCACACACCACAGCTGGGACAGTCCAGGCTGGCAGTGGAGCATCTCACCTGGTTTCTGGTCTCCGTGTCTCTACGACTCACCTTCTAGTCTGCCAGAGTGCCCTTTCAGAGCGTTGGCCAGTGCCAACTGTTTTTGAGAGTCCTGAAGTCTTGCCTCAGGGCCCCTTCCTCCTGTAGGCTCTGGGAAGGTGAGGCAGGGGCAAGGCCTGGAAGTGGAAACCTGGGCTGGGGTCACAAATGTGGGGTACATCCAGAAACAGGCAGCAGGGCTGGGTGGATGACCCCAGTCCAGGCCATGGCTTTCCTCCCCTACAGCCACCAATGCTCCTGAGAGATGGGCTCTTCCAGAGTTGGTGGAGAGAGTAGTAGATAAATTGGCAAAGAGTTGATCAAGGTTGTCTAGTCCAGGCTCTGGGCTAGGCCTGGAGAGGTTCCAGGAGATGCCCCATACTGAGAGGGACTTGGGGCAGAAGTAATAAGGCCCGGATATGAATAGAAATGACCACTGGTTTGTGCCCAGGGCCTAGGGTCCAACGCTGTGCTTCACCCAGAGGAAAACGGAGCCCATTGCCTGGGAACATCAGAAGGCATCTTGAGGTAGCCTTTGAGCTGGCCAGAGGGTGGGTTTTCCTTGGTGTTATCGGAGTGGACATTTAAGGATTTGACACAGAGAGCCCATTGTCGGGGTCTTCTGCACAGGGGCCAATGTGGGAAGCCTCCAAGAGTTGTGAGCAGAGGGGCAGTGTGACCTTACCGGTGTCTTCTAAGGCAACGCCAATGACATGGATGAATAAGGTGGAGAGAGACTTAAAGGACCTGGGTTAGAGAAAGGAACAAAGTGACACAGGCAGCTGTGTTCTCCAGAGTGGAGGGGTGGCTGCCAGCTGGTAAGGGTGGAGGGGGATGGCTGAGGGCTCTGCTGTGGAGGGGAGGTGGTGGAAGAGAGGGAAGGTAATGAACAGGGCTGGGAAGGATGGAGAGAGGCACCGGGATTTGGGAGGGGTGTGTATAAAGGGGGGTTAGGCAGTGAATGGATTTAAGGGTCTGGGGGGTTGGGGTGTCTCTAGATCCCCTGGGATTCTGTGCACCTGAGGTCTGGCCCGCACTCCTCCCACTTGTGTCCACCAGGTCTGAGTGCACATGGCCTGCTCTGAACATGGGGAGTGTGGGAGAGGTAGGCAGAATCAGGGCTGCTTTTAGGAACTAAGTGCCACTCTTGATACACTCTCTCCTCTCGGTGGTGAGAATGCAGGGCGGTGGGGGGAGGGGTGGCAGGAGGACCTTCTGTGACGTTGGGCAAATCCTTTCCCTTTTTCTGACGGCCACTTGTGAGGTTTCCCATGGAACTGAGGGACCTGAAAGTGGCTGTCATGTGAGCCCTTCAGTTCTGAGCCCCGAGTCTCTGAAGCTTGGGGGCTGAGGGACTATGAGGCTGGAATGCACCTCCTGCCCCATCCCAGGCAGTGAGGGTCCCACCTTGTCACCTAGACCAGTAGCGCTTAAAAGCTGTGTCCTAGCCCGGCTGGCATGGCTCAGTGGTTGAGTATCGACCTACGATCCAGGCAATCTCAGTTCGATTCCCAGTCATGCCTGGGTTGCAGGCTCAATCCCAGGCAGGGGCGTGCAGGAGGTAGCCAATCAGTGACTCTCTCAGCATGGATGTTTCTGTTTCCCTTTCCCTTTCTCTCTCTCTGAAATCCATAAAGATATATTTAAAAAAAAAAAAAGCTGTGTCCTATCTGAATCACTGTTTAGCAGGGAGACTGGAGTCATCACACCGCATTTATGTGGCCTGTTTCTCTGTCCACCTGCTCTTGCCCCACAGGCATACCTTTATCGTTCTCAAGTCCCTGCTCATTGCACAGCATCCCAGACTGGGGTTGTCCTTAACGTCACACTGTCTGCAGAGCTGATGCTGCACCCCACCCACCAAACTGCTGGGCATTTAAAAAATGTCCTTTAGATAGTTGGGTGTTTTCTCACTATTAATGAGTAACATGGCCTTTGCTGCGGCACTTGAGTGTCTCTGGGATTCCAGGTGGTGGCAGCTGTAGCTGCCGAGTTTGCCCTTGCTCAAGGGCTGGGAATTGGCATGGTGTTTGCAAAGGGTTCGTTCCCAAACGCTGTTCCCGCCGTCCCCACCCTCTTCTACCAGCTGGTCCAGGTGAGTCCCATGGAAGGAAGCCTTCCTGGGGATGCCCACCAGCCCACTTCGGGGCAGAGCTGGGCCTTTTTCTCTTCCGCTTTTTCTTACCAAGGGGAGGCTCGCCCATCGCCCCTTCCCCTGTGGCAAGCACTTCCAGTCATCAGGGAGTCTGCTGGCTGGCAGTTGGCAAGGAGCTTTTTATTTGAATGTCTTGGCTCTGACTTGTTTAATTGGCTAGCATTTAGTCAGGGAGGGGTGCGTAGGTCAGTGGCCTCTGTGAAGTGTCCCACCCCAGGCCCCCCGCAGCCCTGCGAGCCATGTGGACAACCCTAACTTGTTCCTCGGTTAGGGGTTTGTACTCTGCTCTCCCTTACCTCTTTGGCCATCGCCACATAAATGCCTCTCTGTCCTGGGCCTACCTGTCCAGCAGGAATGGCAGGCTCTCAGGAAAATCCCCCACAGTCTCCCCTCTGGCCCCTCTCTCTGGTCAGCCCCAGCTGCCTTGACAACCCTGCCAGCATTCACCTTCACCGTGACTGCTACTCCAGTTAACCTGTGTGCTCTTCGGACAACACCCTGCCTTTGCTCAGGCTGGGCTCCCTTCCGGGAATGTCCTTACTCCTGTTCCCTCATCCTGTAACACTCAAGTTCTGCCATAGGAAATCCCCCCCTCCCCCCCAGAACCATGTTGACCTCTCATGTAGCTGCTGTCACTCGTTCCTGCTGCCCTGTCCCATGAGACCAAACTGCCCTGGGTTGGGAGAGCAAGGGGGCGTCTTGATCTGTTCATGCCTCTAAAGCCTTTCTCTGGACCGGCCTCCAGCCTGGTTTCGGTGGTCTTCTCTCTCGTAGGTGTGTGACCAGGGAATGGTGGAGTCTGCTCATTCTCAGGGTCTCTACGATGAACACTGGCAGGAAGTGACTCACAAAGCTAATGCCACTCTAGGGGAGGCAGTTGGTGGCATACACGAACTCCTAGGAGAGGTGGTACAGCAGCTGGTTCAGTTCTGATTTATGTGTCTGTGCCAGCTCCTTCTTATCTTCGTCACAGCAGGTCCCCTGTGGCGGGGCTTTCAGATGTCTCCTCAAAACCTGTTCCAGTAGAGTCAAAGGCAGGTCATGTGGTGATAGTGCACACTGACTCCCCCTGGAGGGCCACCCCTGACATGCAGGCGGATCCTGGGCAGGCTCTGTTCTAGAGCCTCTGGCATGCACTGAGGGCATGGTCATACTCATTTGGACACACGTACATGTTGACGTGGACACACATGTGCACACCTCCCGTGTGTATATTTGTGTGCAGGGTGAGACTGATCTCACAGCAGTAGCGGGTTGAGGGAAAGCCCAGGAAGGCTTTTCTGCTGCAGTTGGAAACAGTGTGGTAGTGTCCTTCTGTGGGGCCCTTGGTGCACCTGAGAACAAGCATCCGGTGTCAAGGCTGAGAGATGTGACTTCTCTAGACTTACAGAGAGGTCAGGGCAGGGGCCAGACTAGATTTAGAAGGCGTTTTTCCCATAGAAACTTTAAGCTAGTTCCTCTTCCCTCCGTTTCCCCAAATACATTGCAGGGGCTCCCTTCTCCCTGGCTGGAGCCTTCTGTACAAGCCTGGGCCAAGTTTGGGTTATGCCTCTCCTGACGGGAACCACAGAGGTGTTTCTGGAACAGGAACTGGTAGGTCTGTCCTCCCCAGATTGCTGGTGACTACTCTTCCGCAGCCTCTCCTGGCTCAGTGGTGGCTCCATTCAGACTCATGAAGGTGGCTGGTGGCCTGCCAGCGTGAACCCTCTGTGGCACTGACCAGCTGCGCTCTCACCACCTAAAACCTCCTGGCTCCTCCTGCTAGTGGTCTCTGGGGGCCGCTCTGGGCCTGGGCCTGGACTGGGGTCTTGTTTTGAATTCTGCCAGGGAGTGAGGGGTAAGGAGTGAGGCTTTAGCGTTGTGATGTCGGGCATAGCAGGCCTGTGCCCGCCCGGAGGCTGGAACCCCTCTCCTGGGGACTGGGGGTAGGAATGTTCATCTGAGCAGCTGTTTCCCCCCTTCTTTGCAGGACAAGGAAGATGAGGAACCAAAGACCAAACAGCTCAGAGAGGGGGAGGAGGAGGGCGAGAAGCACAGGTAATGCCCACAGCAGCTCCCCGCCCTGCATCTTCTCCAGCCCTGTCGGTTCTCACACCCTCCCAACCCTGTGTTCAGAGTCTCCAGCTCCTCCTCTCTGCCCCATGGCTGCCCTGCTTAGCCCTGAAAACGGCTCCCTTCTCCCTGGCTGGAGCCTTCTGCACCCATCCCCCTTTGGCCATCTGAGCCTTAGCCACCAGCCTTTTCTTCCGACCCCTACATTATGTCTCCTCGCTCTCCTCAATGCCCTCGCGTGGCTCAGCTCTACAGCACCTGCAGAACTGGGTGCAGACTCGCCCTGGTGTGTGATCTTGGCCTGGGCCATCCATCCTGGGCCGGCCTCCTCTGGTTTCCCTTAACCACCCTGGCCACTCAGCATTTCCTGACGGTGTCATCTCTAAGCTGTCCTCTCAGCTGTTATTCCTTTTCTCGATCCTCCTTTAACAGGTTAGTCTTCCTCTAGAGCTCTGCTCAGAGGCCTCAACTTCTTTCTCTGCCTCTGTTTTCCCATCCCCCTCAGTAGTTCACGTATAGTATTGATCTTATTTTGCCAAATCCTGCCATCTGGTTGAGTCGACCTAAGTTGCCTGAAGAGAACTCTCTCCCCCTGTGGTTGCAGGTGCATGAGGGCTGGGACCTCCCCAGAGATTCAGAAGCTACTCTGCATCGGAAATGCCTGGGACACAGTTTTGGAAGCTGTGTGGGGGGCAGGAAGGGGCTCTTTGGTGGGTCTTCATGAGCTGGGGGGACCTTCATGTCTGTTAGCACATTGTGCCCAGTGCTGAGCTTGGGCCACAGGGCAGCAGTGGAGCTCTGCTTGGGGCCAGACTTGCTGTCTGCATGGACAGGTGGCCTTGGTGGCCTTTGCCCTGAGCCATTTCCTTCAGGCACAGGGCCTGTGTGGGCACCTGCTCATTTCGGGGTGGATCTTGGTGCCCTGAGAAAGCCAACCTGTGTGGGCTGTTTGTTGAGGGGGTGCAGCGGGAGGGGAAGGATGCTCACCCAGGAGCAGACCTTCCTAATGCCATGGCCTTGTATCACCTTCACCAGTGTAAGTGGAACCCTCCCCAAGCACAGGCCCCTCATCTCTGCCCTATTCAGAAGCTCATCTCCAAGGAGCTGGGGCCTTTTCAAGTTCACAGGGGTGTGCGTGTATGCACCTGACTTGGCAGTTTACCAAGTGTGTTCACACCATCCTTAGGCAAGTCACGTTGGCTCCGTGAGCCCCCTCACTTGAGGATCTTCAGCTGAAAGATGGGTAAAGGCAAACTTACTTCCCTACTAGGGAATGGAGCAAATGCACAGCTGTTTACCTGGCTGGTGCTGAGGCATGGGCAGAAAGAAGAAACTTTGGGGCCCTCCTGAGAGACAGAGCTGAAGGGCTCCAGATGCACCTGGAAAAGGTGAAATTAACTTCTATATATGGCCTGTGCTAACTTTGCAAATAAGGCGGCAGTTGGGAGAACAGCAAGGTGGTTGGATGAGAGTAGAAATAAGCATATGTAACCAAGAAATTAGTGGTTAAGACCCCTTTGCAGAGCTTCCCTTACGTGGTACAATATAGCACCCTCAGCAAATAAATGGTTTCATTTAACAGATTCAGTTGTTGGCCCAGTTAACACTGCGGGGCCAGTGCAGTTCCTCAGTTTGTGGCTGAGGAAATGGGACTCCAGCAGGATTGGAGGCAGGCACCCTAGGACCTCACCCCTCAGCAGCCATGCTGGGCAGTCGCCCACCTTCCTCTCTGCCCATCTGCCCAAGGAGACCTCAGAATCTTGGCTGTTCAGGCTCCCTTTGCCTTTCCTTATAAATTGTAGAATTGGCTCAATATCTATAAAAAAGCTTGCTAGAATTTTGATTGGAATTGCATGGATTCTCTAGATCAAAAAAAAATTTTAAGTTTTTATTGCTCTCTTTAGGATAAACCCTGCCCCGTCCTCATACAACCAAATCCTCATCGGGTGGGAGTCAGCCCCGTCCAGGTCCTTCAGCCCAGGCTCCATTCTGTGGGAAGGAAAGACATGTTCCCACCCCCAGAAGGGCCCCTGCTTCTCCTCTGAGCCAGATCTTCCCTCTTGTGGCTTATTCTGCAGGGGCGTCCATGACTTACCTCTAACTCAGCCTCTCTGAGTGCCTCAAATAAGGTGTGATCTGGCGCCCTGGAAAGCTGGCTATAGGGAGGGGCATTTGTGCCAGCTGCTTTGTTTTTTTTTCCCCTCAGTCACTTCCTCCTGATGGCAGTTCTGCCCATATGTGCTGTGGAGGCGTGTCTAGGTAGGGTTTGTGGTTGAGGGTCATGGTCACCCTGCCAGGTGGGAGGAGAGGGAAGGCATTGCACACTCCGCCGAGCACTGGCCAGGGGAGCGTGTCTTGTTAAAGTGCCTGAACAAGCCCCAAACCCTCAACCCCCACAACTGCTGCCTCCCTCTGGCTTTGGATCAAGTCTACCCTCAGCTGGAGCAGTCACCGTTCAGGGACAGTGCTTCACCCTGGGGTGGCTGTCCTGCCCTGCAGGAGAAAGTGGTACTAGCCTGCTTCCTTCAGGATGGAAAACTGGTTCTCCCACTCCATGTGGAGAGGGGTTCCACCCCAGCTAAGGCCCAGCCCAGACCTGGCCTGGTGCCCAAACCCTTTAGGCTGGCAAATGCCAGGCCTTCCCTCCTCTGTGGGTTGGGTCCCCAGAATGGTGTCTGAAGCAGGGTGTGCTCGCAGATCCGTGACATCAGCTTGATTCGGCAAATGTTGCCCCACTCTAGTGGTAACAGCCAGAGCAGCTACCACTCCCACCCCCTGCTCCAGGACGGGGTGCTCAGCAGGGGCAGTGGGGCTGGACCGTGGCTCCAGGATTTATGCTGAGGCAGCAGCACTGACACCTGCTGTCACCCTGTTTTTCCTGATCCTGTAGCTCAGGAATAGGCCCCAGAATGTGGGCGAATGAATCAAGAGAGAACTGGTTTCAGGAAGGTGCGTCATGGAAAGCAGTGGGAAGCAGACTCCCCGTGTGACCCGGCGGGCACTTCCCTCTGTGTGGGCAGGGTGGGAAATCGGCTGGGTCCTTTCTGTCTAGAAACAAGTCTTGATCTTCCGTCATGACCTTCAGTGCTGCCAGAGCCCTTCTCATTAAGTCCTACTCCTTGTTCTGGGGGTGGGTGTGGTCCATGAGGTGAGGAAACCACAGTTCATGCTGGTAATGTGTCTGAGCTCTCCCAACATAAGGGAGTGGAGGCCCCTGGGACCCCTCCGCTCCCCTCGACCCTGTTGATGTATAGACCCTCCAGTTCCATCATGTCCCAAATGGGGAAATGGGGTCATTCCTGCCCTCTGCCTGCAAGCTCCCCAGGCAGGCGGGCAGGTCCCACTCCTCTCCACCACCCTCACTCTCAGTGCTGCCCCTGAGGTGCTCTTGCCTTTGTCCCACATGCCCTCTCTACTGGGGCTGCAGGGGCAGGCAGCAGGGAGGCTTTGTGGTGAAAAGAGGAAGGCCTCTCTTTGGCAGCCTGCTGCAGGGGTGGCCTGGTGAGGTCAGGCACCATCCACCTGCCGGAGTGGTTAGTGTGATAGGTTGGGCCCCAGGAAGGAGGGCGCAGCAGACTGCAGGTTCCTTTCCCCCCACCATCTGGGCCCCAGGCAGCCAGTGTGGCCAGCCCTGTGTCATTTTCTTGGCCCTTTGGGATTCAGCTTAACTGCTTTACCCTCTCCTTTTCTAAAATTTGAATTGATAAATTTTAGGTTTTTCAATTGTAGAAAATTTAGAAAACACAGACTAATGGGTATGTATGTGTCTTACTGTTTTATAACCGCTTTCACATACCATGTCGTGACCGTCTTTTGATCAATATACTTTTATGAAATTCTCATCGGCTACTTAATATTTCTTTGAGATCACTACCATAATTTATTTTCAGCCCTTAATTTTGGGCATATCAGCTGTTTCTAGTTCTCTAAGTGAGCATTAGCTATGCATTTTCAGGCAGGATTGGTTTTAGAGACCCTGGGTTGGGCCCTACAGAGTCTTGGGTGGGCAGTGGGAGGCCGCTGGGTTCTTTAAAAGTTTCATTTGCTGTTCAGCCTTCTGTCAAGTGTTCTAAATTAAAATAATGAACAATCACCAAACAAAAACATCCCTCCATAGCCCATCTGTCTCCAGTGTCCGTGTTCCATCCCGATCTTGTACCGTACCTAATAATTTTTCCCCCCTCATAGCCAGGTGTTGTGATTGCACGTCCCAGGCTCTCCTGTGTCCGCTGGGTCTTGGCCATACTACTCTTGGGTGGTCTGCCCCATGGCTGTTAAAATTATACCACCAGAAGCATTTTTATATGGAACTCTTTGGTTTTTGTTTGTCCTTATTTTGTTACTATTTCTATGAAAGGCAGCGACCTTAGAAGTAAGTAGCCTTGGAGTTTGAACATTTTAATGCGTCTTTAAGGAAAGGACGAGGCCAGGCTCTGGAGGGTCCCATTTGGAACTGTTGCCTCACCTGTTTTCATGGGCCTCTTGGGTCTAGCCTCTGGCAGCACCAAACAAGGCCTCGTTATTTATGTTGGGAGCATAGGGGCGTTTCCATGTGCGAGCCTAAAGCAAACGACTTACGGGGGGAAGGGTCCTGGAAGCGCCCCTGTGTTTACTCTGGATGTTCCAACTGAAAGAAAGCCCTCTGTGCTGAGTTGCTGATGTCTGCAGCCAGAGCTGGTCTCCAGAAGCCTGCAGGCCTATTCTGGGCTTGACCTCTCCAGATCTGTGACTGTGAGGAGATCTCACACCAACTCTTCATCTGACCTGTGAGGCCACACGGGACTGCCCCATTCTGGCCTCTCCCCAGCAGGGGTGTGTGTGTGTGCAGCATAGACTTTCTCTGAGACCCTCTGGTAGTGAAGGGGTTGGACCAGATAATCTGGAAGCTTCCTTTCACTTTGGCATTCTAGAGCTCTGTTCCTGGGCTTCACATTTTACAGAGAACATCACTCTCTCCTCCCCCTTCTGGTGTGAAAAACACCCCTCAGGGTGATTTCCCCAGAATCTGCGGGCCAGCCAGCCTGGGGCCATGCCACTGGCCTTGAGGAAGACTCATACCTGTTTGGGCACTTGACAGGTCTCCCCAGATGGGGGGAGGAAGCGGAGGAGGAAATGAAAAGGGCTGTTCCCCATTTTAAGGAGACTCAGTAGGATGTGAACTGGCATCTCCTGGTCGCTTTGCCACGAAGACAACGAAAGTTACTTTGGAGTTCGCCTCCCTGACCCAGCCACATTTCTGCTCTCTTTGCATTTCCTGGGCACAACTTCTGTACTTTCTGCATTGTCTTTCCAAACCTTAAGACTCCCAGAGAGCCCCAGGCTACCCTAAAGCTGTTTCCCCAGTACCCTCTCTGAATTATCGGATCCAGCCAGAGGCAAGTATGTGCCTAGCTATGCAGCTTTCCAGTTGCTTCTGGAGTCCCCTTGTCCCCCTGCTCTGTACCCCTGCTGAGTCCCTCCCTCAGGCCAGCTGTTCTGCTGAAGCCCGGGGCAGGTGATGGGCGAGGGTTCTTGCTCTGAGTCCTGCGTACAGTTCCCACCCAACTCTTCACACATTTCTCACAGAGCCCAGTTTGAGAGTGACAGCTTTTTTCCCACTAATCCCTGCAGTTTGCTTCCCACACCCAGTTTCTCTTCTGCTTTTCTCCCCACCCTGTTGTGAAGGGAAGTCAGTGCATGGGTCACACCCACTGCAACCTGACATGACACTCACCTGAGGCCTGGGGCAGGCACGAGGGGCAGGGGCCCAGGGAGGGTGTCCCTGCTCCTTAGAGTGGGCAGCAGGCTTCCTCCACAGCCATACTGGCACTGCCCCCTGGGCACAGAGGTTCAGCCTAGCCCTGGGGCTGGTGCCTCGGGCCCTGGCAGGGAAGGCAAGGCAGATGGTGCTGGTGAATAGGGGACTGAATTTGATACTAGGAATTCCCCAGGTCCAGACCGCTGCCACTTGCCAGCTGTGTGGTCATAGGCACCTGCGCCTCACCTCTGGAAAGGCCTGTCTGCCAGAGCTAGGGAGGCAGCAGCACTTCGGTGGCCTGGCCCACAGAGGGTTTGGTAGGTGAGACTGTGGGAGCCCTGCTGTTGGGAAAATGTCCCGTCCTGGAGGCCCAGGACTTCTGAGGGGCAGCAGTCCCCGAAAAGGCTCAGGGAGGCAGTGGAAGGGCGAGGACCCACACTGCAGCCTCACCTGGCTGGCAGGTGGGGGCCACCTCTGCCTCCCCCAGGGCATGGATGGTCTGACCCAGTAGCGCTCTCCTTACTAAGAAGTAGCCCCAGGAGCCCTCTGCCCTGCTATGGAGTATCTGGGGCCCCTCCTCCTATGGGCAAGCCTCTGTATGGGTGTAGAACTGTTGAGCTGCCGAGCCAGGGGGCCCCCAGTGAGTGCAGCCAGTTCTGCCAGAGACTCAGCTAAGAGGACAGACACTGTGGGCACTGGCAGTCCTAGTGTGTGATTCTGGTCCCCCTTCACAGAGGTCTTAGGGTCTGTCCTGGTGATGTTTTAAAGACCCTTTTGCAGGGATAGGTCTGTGCAGCTCTCGTGGCTGCCCATGTGGACTGTGGCTTTCTCAGCCTTGCCAGCCACTCCCAGCACACACAGACCCTTGCCACCAGTAGTTGAGGGACTTGTACCAGTGGCCGCTGGGCACGAAGGCTCTGAGGAGGAGGCCGGGCTTGGGGAACCATGGGTGACAATTAGCTTCGTCTTCAGGAGTAACTCAACCAGGAGCTTTGCTGTGTGACTTCATAAAAACAGGGTGGTGTCTCTGACCCTCTCTCTATCTCTGCTCTCTCAGGGAACTCAGGCTGCGGAACTACGTTCCCGAGGATGAGGACCTGAAGAGGAGGAGGGTGCCCCAGGCCAAACCAGTGGCTGGTAGGTGGGCTGATTCGCCACATGTCTGCTCCGGGGCACTGTCAGCTGCCTTTGCCTTGGAAGGTGTCACCCTCTCTTATAGAACAGTTGGCAGTGCCAGGGCTGGAAGTTGGATGTCTAGGACCCTCCATCAGCATCTCATGGCAGGTGCACAGTGGATAGTGTTGGGTGACCGCAGAGAAGCAGTCAGGGCTCTGTCCTGCTCACACCCGACTGGGCGGCCTCTCAGGGGCCTTGGAGGGAAGAGGTCACATCTCAGAGGAACCCTCAGGGCTGAGAAGTGGAAAGTGGCCCCAGGACCCTTGAAGGGTCAGAGTGAGAGACCCTGACGAGAGGCCAATCATTTAGGTGCTAAGAGAGCATTGGGTAGGCAGATGCCCTCCAGGGTCAAGGTGCAACAGCACCAGGGCACCGAGGGTGGGGAGACTGGTCCTTGTGGGTGGGTGAGGGCCTGCCAGCCCAGGGGCTACAGTCTCCCCAGGTGCCGCAGCAGCACAGTAGCCAGGAGCATCTGGCCAGCAGTGGCCTGTCCGTAGCCACCCGCGCGGGGAGTTGCTGGGCCCCTTATCATGCAGGTCCCTGGCTCTTTTTACTCTTTGTTTTTGTTATCAATTCTGTGAGTAATAAGTAAGCAAATACAATTACCTTGTAAAACAGTAAAGTGTTGCCCATTTGGCCACACCCCAGTCTGCTTCCTCATCTCCTTTGCCTCTAAAATCCCCATGTGTCCCAGGTGTTTTGGGCCCCGCTGTGGTGGGTCCAGTGGCACCGTGGGGGGAGGGCAGTAAGGCAGGACGGAGGAGAGGAATGGGGAGCTGATCCCATGCCTCGGGGTCAGCGTCTGTGACTGGAAGGGGTGAGGCAGGGCAGGGGGGCCGTGAGGGAACATGGGGCACCGCGACGGGGGCTGGAGGACGCCTGTGGGGCCCAGTTTTGGTGTTAGTGCTCCCAGCATCTGTACCCACAGGGTAGGGCCCTCCTGGTCACACTGCCTGGAGGCCCATGGTGCCGTCAGCAGCTGAGTGTACTTCCAGTGGCTGTGCACCTCCAGTGGCTGTCCCCTGGTCTTGGAGCACACCTCTAAGTGAGATGGGAAGAAAGCTACCTATGCCTGGCCAATCCACAACACAGGGGACATCCTCAGAGCCCAGGAGCCCCTGGGAATTCTGGGAGGAGCCAGTCCTCCAGGCCCTGCACAGAACCATTCTTTGGATGTATCCAGGCACCTCTCTTGTCTCACACCTGGGGACAGGGAGTCTGGGCTCTGTCTACTCCAGCGGGCTGCCTGCTGGTGGCCCTCCTTTGCTCTGGGATTGCTTTCATCCTGGGAAACTCTGCCCTTCCTTCTGAGCTGCCTGTGCTGGGGGCCAAGGGGAGAGGTGGGGACAAGAGGGTGTATAGTGTCACCACCCGGAGTGTCAAAGCCTCTGCCACAGGCCTCCATTGTTGTCTTGCGCCCTCTAGTGGAAGAGAAGGTGAAGGAGCAGCTGGAGGCCGCCAAGCCAGAGCCTGTCATCGAGGAAGTTGTGAGTCTGGGGCTGGGGCAGCTGGTTCTGGCTCCTTCTGTGGGTTCTTTTCTCCTGCACCTGCTCTCCCTTCCCCTCCTTTCCCATCCCTTCTCTTTACCCTGCCCACCTCTGCTTCCCCTCACCCCTTTCTCCCTCCTTTTCTTTCTCCCATTTTTCTACCTCTGCCCCATTTCCCTACTTCCTTTGGGGCTGGGCCCCTCTGGTCCTGACATGTGTCTCCTCCCTTCCCAGGACCTGGCCAACCTCGCACCCCGGAAGCCTGATTGGTGAGTGTCGCGGGGGGAGGACTAGTGCACACCGAGTGGGGCAGGCGCTCTCGGTGCCGGGCAGCAGCCGCAGCCAGGCCTTTCCACCCACACAGTGGGGAGACAGACAGCAGACGTGTGGCAACGCAAATCAGTCCTGTCCGAAGTCAGTGCTAAGGACAGAAACAGAGTGAGAGGGAAGTGACAGGGTGATACCTGGAGGGTGGGAAGGGCTCAGGTAGAGCGGGAGCAGCAGTCCCCTCAAGAAGGGGGAGGACCTGCCCCACCTCAGAGAGCCCCTTTGAGCAAAGCTGACCTTTGCTTTCAGGGAGCTGCAGGGTGGAGGAAAGATGGTGGGAAGGGCAGGCGTAGGTTTCTGTCCCAGTTCTGCCACCAACTAGCCTGGTCCCCTTTGGCCTCAGTTCCCTCTTTGAAATGAGCACCCTCAGCCTTCCCCGGTGCCCCTGTGACTGGCTGAGAAAGGGGGTGAGAGAGGGTGGCCTGGGCCTTACCTTGCGCCAGAGGTATGGCCCCATGCCTCTTGTCTAAGTCTGTGTCAGGCACAACACCAGAGGAGAGTGTTCGAATTTGATGAAACAAAAGCATGGGGCCTTTGTCCTAGGAAACCCAGGCCAGGGAGACGGGGCTGTGTGTGCACTGGAAGCTCCTAGGGGTGGAGTGAGCAGTGGCTGCAGGAGGAGGGAGAGGGGCATCCTGGCCTGTTCCCAGGACAGTCTCTGCGGACAACTGAGTATGATTCCTGATGCTCACAGTGGGCTGGGCAGGCCACTCCCTGACAGCAACCGAGGGGCCAGGCCACGAGGGGTCCCCTGAGAAACTACCCACCTTTGCACACTGGTCCCAGTCCCCTGTGTTGGTGGGTCTGCGGGCTGGCCCCTGCCTCCCCGGGCCTGGGAAGGATGGCTGATGCTGGGTTTGGGATGCAGGAGGGAGAGGGGCATCCTGGCCTGTTCCCAGGACAGTCTCTGCGGACAACTGAGTATGATTCCTGATGCCTGAGGGGCTGTAGGCAAGGTGGGCCTCGAGGCCACACTGGGCCAGCTTTCAGCCTCAGGCTTCCCTCCACCTCCCTGCTGTAGGGACCTCAAAAGAGACGTAGCCAAGAAGCTGGAGAAACTAGAAAAGCGGACCCAGAGGGCCATCGCCGAGCTGATCCGTAAGTACAGGGCCTGACAAGGTGGGGTCCCTGTCCTATGGGTGGCAACCCAAGCACAGGGCCCCTCTCTACCATTCCTGTCTGCCGTCCATCCAGGTGAGAGGCTGAAAGGCCAGGAGGACAGCCTGGCCTCTGCAGTGGATGCCAGCACCGGACAAGAGGCCTGCGACTCCGACTGAGGCATGCCCTGTCCTCTCACCCACCTGTCAGGCCTGCCCTGTGGGAGGGTGGTCTTGGACAGGGTCAGGTCTGAGCTTGCCACCACTTCTGGGTTGCCCTCCGAGCAGTCACCCCCTGCCCCATCAGTCTTAGCCTTGCGATGTAGGGTGAGGTCAGCTCCTTGTCTCCCAAGTGGTCTCCGCTACCCTGGGTTCTGTGAGCCCAGACAGAGCCAGCAGCAGTTCTGTGAGCCTGCTGTGTCTGTACACATGTAGGTATGTATGTACGTATGTATATATTGTGGATTTTTTTTTTAAATTCTGGAAATAGAAACAAGCAGATCCCTGTGTGTGGCAGAAATCTACCAAATATTTTCTGGGTCCTTGGGGTGCTATGGGGTTTGGGTCTCAAGACAGGGTGTCTGGAGAGGTGATCTTAATATGAATAAGCCCTGAGTTGGGCTGAGCAGGTTGAGGCTGACCTTCTGGGCTCAGTCTTTGGTCAGCGGTGGTCATCTCAGAACCCTTGAGTGACAGACGGGCCTTGCAGTATTCCATGGGACAGCCAGGAGAGGCCCCCACCCTGATCTGTGGAACCCCTCACGGCGTGAGAGAGAAGGAAGAGACTGGCCCACGGAGGGGTGAGCTTGGCCGCATTGCCACCGTTATTGAAGTTGCGGTTCCGTGAGAGGGGGAGTAGAATGAGCACGGGAAGGCAGCCAGCAGCCCCTGCCACAGGGGGCAGGAGGAAGTGGTGAGCAAAGAAACCAGGGGACATCGCAGAAATCAACAGTTAACCTCTAGCGAGACAAAGATTAAAAAAAAAGACAGAAATTAATATAAATATTAGGAACGAAATAAGGTGATCACTACAGTCTCCCCAGACACCAACAGGACAGTAAAGGGGTATTGTGAGTAACTCCCCACATGAATTTGACAAGTGGATGAAATGAACCAGTTCCTTGAAAAGCACAAATTACCACAAGTTATCCAAGACAAAATAGATTACTTTGCGTAGCTCTATAAAAGATAATGAATTCACAATTTAAAAATCCCTAAAAAAGAAATCTCCAAGCCCAGGTGGTTTTACTGGAGAATTAATATACAGAGTTAATGCAATTCCTGTCAAAATCCCAATAAGATCTTTAGGCATAGACAGAATTATTCTAAATTGTAGCAGGACAGGCAGAAGAACTAGACTAGCTTAAACAGGTTTTACTAGAAGAATGAAGCATGAGGAACCATTAACCATCCCCAGACAGTATGAAGCCACAGTGATCAAGATGGCAGTGCTGGTGGAAAGACAGGCACATAGATCAGTGGAAGTCAGCTGCCCGCTCACTTTTGACAAAGGTATAATGTGAGCTCAGTGGAGGAAGCACAGTCTTCAGCAAATGGTGCTGGAGTGATTGGGCAGCCACAGGCCAAAAAAGGAACCTCAGTCAGACCTTACACAAAAATTAAAGTTGCTCATAGGTTTAAATGTAAAATGTAAAACTATAACAACTTTCAGGAGAAAACCTTCAGGACCCAGAGCTTGGGAAAGAATTCTTAAGGCATGAGACCAGAAGCACAATCCATAAATAATAAATTGGGAAATTTGACTTAACTGAAACAAAGAGCTTTTGCTCCTACAGTCTTAAGAGAATGAAAAGAAAAGCTACAGACAGAAAATATTTGCAAACGGCATATCTGCTAAAAGGCTCCTAACTAGAACATAATGAATTATCAAAACTCAACAGTAAAAAAGAAAGGAAATCCAATCAGAAAATGGGCAAAAGACATGAAGAGACATTTTACCAAAGAGGATATAAATTGCAAACACGTGAAAGATACTCAGCATTACTAGCCTTTAGGGAAATGCAAATGAAAACCATGATGAGCTGTCATTAGACACCTATTAGAACAGCTTAAATTACAAATTATGATAAATGCTGGCAAGGATGCAGAGAGCTGAAAATCTCACATTGTTGGTGGGACTATAAACACTAGGTGCTCTGGGAACTAGTTTGGCAGTTTCTTAAGAAACTAAATGTATACTTAACATATAACTCAGCAACCATACTCCTGGCATTTATTCCAGAGAAATAAACTCCAAACGGACATAGCAGATATAAAAATGATGTCCACAAAGGTTCATAGCAATTTGATTTGTAATTGCCAAAAGCTAGGGGGGAAATGCCACATGCATTATTGCTTAATGCTGGGTAATTTGAGTTTGTTCAGGATATATCAGCTTAAAAAAATGAACGCAGAGTAATGGAGGTTGCCAAGTCATCATCAGACCCAGATCTGGGTCTTAGTGTAATTTCCCTTCCTTCAGTTTGCAATGAAAATATTACCAAAAAATGGGTGAAATGAGGACAGTAAGAAATTTCTGATGTGTGCCATGCACTCTACGAGGGCATTCCTTCACCTGATTCTGTACTCGGGAGTAATGGATCGGAAAAGTATGTTTTATTCTGTGAAAAAACAAACCCACAGCCCTGGCTGGGTGGCTCCGTTGGTTGTAGCTCCGTCCCATACACGGAAAGGGTTTGGGTTGTATCCCCAGGCAGAGTGTGAACAGGAGGCAGTTGATCAATGTTTCTCTCTCACATCGGTATCTCTCTCTTCCTCCCCCCCAAATCAATTTTTAAAAATCCCTGGTTGGGTATTAAAAACCCAACAAAATACAAAATGCTCATCAGTAGGTGACTATTTAAACTGTGGTGCATCCATACCATGGAATACTACTCAGCAGTGAAAAGGCACGAGCTGTTGATAAAAGAAATGGCTTGGATAGAGTGAAGAACATATCCATATATATGAAAAGATCACATCTCATGATTTCCTATCTAACATTCTTGAAGTGACAAAATCAGACAGGGAACAGATTGGTGGCTGCCAAGGGTTAGGAATGGTGGGGGCTGGTATGACTATAAAGGGATATCTTGGAGGAGATCTTTGTGGTGATGGAATAGCTTCCGATCGCAGTGGTGATTGCATGAGTCCACATGGGATCAAGTGGAATGGACCAAGCACAGGTCATTTCCAGTTTAATTGTACCTACTGTAGTTAGGGAAGATGTAACTCCTGTCCGGGGAAACCGGGCAAATGGTACACAGGACTGCTCTGTACTCTCTTTAACTTCCTATGAATCCATATTTCAAAATAAAAAGTTTAAAAATATTTTCAGTGAGCAAAGAAAACAGTAAAACATGTTAATAAATTGAGTAAATATTTCTTTAAGTATGCTTTCTGTGTTTAAAAAGATACAATAAGCTTTCTGGAGTCTTGTGGAAGGTGGGATGGGGGTGGTTCAGAGTTGGTCACAGTGAGTTTTGGCTTTGGTTAGAGGGACAGGTGGGGGACTCCCTGACTCCAGCACCTCTTTGTCATGGGGCTGAGGAAATGGGCCAGGGAGTGGCGATGCCCAGCTCTGTGGATGGGGCCCATGTGCCCAGTGATATCCAGCTTACCAGGCAGTTCTGCAGGACAGCCCTGATGGACCTTCTAACACGCCAGTTCCCTCCTATTTGAAATCCTCAAAGACGTCTGGCTTCTGGGTCATCTCAGGAGAAGTGTCAGGCTTGGAGTGTTCTGCAGCAGTAGGGATGCCACAGTGAGGAATGGCTGGCTTGGGGTCAGAGAGGCACAGCCCGTAGTCACAAGGGAAAGATTCTGCCCAGCCCAGCGGGCTGCAGAGGAGGCATGTGAGGGTGACCAGCTTGGGCAAACCTACTCCCGTGGGCTCTGCCGTCCACCCTTGAGTGCCAGGCATCTTCCTAGCCAAGTCCTCTGTTGGGGTTCCATGCTACTGCTCGCCACCTCCCAGGCTCCACTGTGAGATGCCCACACACTTCCCTCCAAGCGGTTCTGAGCCATGTCCAGGGCCTGCCACGGCCCTGCCCACCCCTGCAGGATCTGGGCGTCTGGGCATTAATTGGCCCTGTATTCTCAGTGCCTATGTTCTGGGCACTGTCCGGGGGGCTGAGATGCAGCTGGGGCTCTGCCTATGATGTCCTGCCCTCCAGGCTCTGATCTTCCAGGTGGTCTCAGGATCTGTGCTGGGAGGCAAGGCCCTCAGGCCAGTCTGAAGACCTCACTTGCCCCAGAACCATCTGGACAGTGAGTGGTGGGAATCTGAGGCCCTAAGGGCACGGTGAGTACACCCAGCCTGAGCCCGCATGGAGAATCTCCTTGCGGCCTGTATTTCCCCGCTGTCCTCAAATGGCCACTGGGGGGCAGCAGGAGACACTGACGGGGGCCCTGCAGCGGAGTGGGTCAGCACAGCCTGCCTTTCCCACAGCTGACGTGAGTAACCAGAAAAAGCACCTCTGTCTTTCCCACGGGGCCTGTGCCATTTAAGTGACTGATACCAGAGAGGATCCTGAGAGAGGGGCTCAGTCAACCCAGAAGCCAGCACAGGGTGGGGACCGTGTCCTGGGGACAGCAGAATCACCCCCAGCCCCACCCCATGCTGGCTTTCCTCAGGTTCCAGGCACCAGGCACTTTAGGGGGTGTGGGCTCCAGATGGAGTGTCTAAGTGCCCTCCCAACCCTGGGGACAGCACCAGCCCTGTCAGGTCACAGGCAGCCTCCTTGCTCCGTGGGCACATATGGGAGGTTGGACAGAATAACCTGAGCTGTGGAGCTGTAGTAGCCTGGCTGGGAAAGGGGCCACCTGAGGGGGTCTGGTCCCCTCAGCGCCCCAGGCCAGGCCTGAGCATTTGTTGGCTCTCAAGGTGCCTATTGTTGACCCAGAGGCCATCCAGGTGGTATGTGTGTGGGGTGGGGGTGGGGTCTCACCCACCAGGTGGGCCTGGATGGACAGAAGTGGGCAATTCATAGAGTGGAGTGGGTGTGTGTGCTGGGTCCTTGGGCTGCTTCCCTCCTTGGTGCAGGCCTAGCCTTGGGGCCTCTGGGCCTCGGATGCCATGGGCTGGGCAGGGGTGTCTGGGCTGAGTTTCCCAGCCAGCCTGCCCCTTCTCTATGTATTTACTGGTTTTCTTTAAATGTTCCCATTACTCAGGCCTCTTGTGGGCACTGAGACAGAAATAAATCCCGCAAGGCAGCCCAGCCAGAAGCCGGGAATCTGATTCCCCCTCAAAGGCCGGAAGAGGCCCCTGGGCAGAGCATGCCAGACCACAGTGGCCCCACACACTCCACACGATCACGACTGCAGCCATGCACCCTCATGCACACACGTGCACATGCATGCATTCGTGCATGTATACCCCCCGGACAACCACATTGCACATGCAGACACTCACATGCCCCCCTCCCAGATTTGCCTGATGCACACACACGTTCAGGCACTCAGGGATTGACCTTACGTACACATTCACTTACCTGTACACACCCCAATGCAGACTGAACTCATGCACACACGTACTCCCCCCCCCACACACATAACACACACTCATGCACACACTCTGGGGTCACACAGTCATCCCGAAGGCCCTGCTGAGCGAGACAGCAGCGAGTCTGTGGCGGGAGGGAGCATGAGGCCACCCTGTGCCTCTCCAGAGGAGAGTGGCCTCATGGGAACACAAGCTTAAGGCTGCCAGGGCTTCTGAATTTTTAAGAGAAACTGGAAAGCTGAATTTTTATGTGAAATATCCTGATTTTTAAATGTTGGCTCAAGATGTTGAAAATACTGTGAGGGCCAAACCAAACATGTCTCCGGGCCAAATTCCACCCACAGGCGGCGTTCTCAGACCACGGGTCCACATAGACACACACACAAACACACACATATATGCAGACATACATGCAAATACACAAATAGACACCAGAAGACACGTGCAGATATATACAGTTACATATACAAACATAAAAAACAGATACAGGGACTGACACACAATACAAATAGACAACAGACAGCTAGGGCACATATACGAACAGATAGACCCACACACAAATATGTACACACATACAAATACACAAATCCATACAAACACACATAACAAACAGCACATCCCTCTCTCACTGATGTGGGTGAGCATGTTGGGGGTAGGTAGCCTGACAGTGTAGCATTGGGGCAGGGCCAGGGCATCATGGTTCACACCCGGGCTGCCCCCTCACAGGCTGGAACAGGAAAGGGGTGCTGGGGCAGAGGGTCCCTGGGAGGGACAGGTTGTCTCGGGTTAACTGCTGAGCATAGCGTGGGGAGTGGCGAGGAGCAGGTGGAGGGCCTTTTTGCCAGGGTCTGGGAGAGTTTGGGCCACAGGTTCTGAAGCTCTGGGAAGGGATGGTGTAGGCCTGGAATCCAGTCTTTGCCTCCCAGACCCTGGCCCCTTTCCTGACCCCCAGCCCTTGGATGGGAGGAGCTACACAATCCACACCCCCCACCTTCTGGCCCCTCCACCGGCATGACAGGCAGAGGAAGGAGGGCCCCAGGTCTGCTCAAGGGAAGGGTAAAGGCCTTGTCCAGGCCACCAAAACCCAGGCTGGGGACCCCTGGGGAGCAGGGTGGGATACTGAGGTCACACAGGCCAGGAGACCTGGACAGGGGCCTGACCTCAGAGGAGAAACTGAGGCTCAGAGAGAGAAGGCTGCTTGGCCAGGATCACACAGCACACACACGGAGCCAGCCAGGACCCGGGCCCCTGCCTGGCTCCGGAGTCCCCCCTCCTCTGCCCAAGGCTTGTTTCAGTTGGCCATGGTTGCCTGGGGCTGGCATCTTCTCCTGAGCTGGCTGAGAAGGCATTGGGAACAGGCGGCTGGACCCACCCCAGCCTGTGTGCCCAGCAAGCCCCACTCCTGCCCCCTCTTGCCTGGTGTCCCCACAGCCAGACATGTCTTCTAACAACCAAGCCTGAGCCAGGACCACGGGCAGGTCCACGTCCCTTCACAACCTCAGAGCAGTGCCGTGTTCTCTCAGACCCCTGGGCAGGGTCATGTCCCTTTCAAACTCGGTCCCCTTTGCCCTCTGTTTTCTCTCCTACCACATCCTCAGGGTGAGGGCTGAAGTGTGTGGCCTATCCTGCCTGCCCACTCTGGGTGGACGTGTGGAGCCCAGCTCAGTTCTAGAACGGCTTGCAGGTTGAGGGTGGGCAGAGCCATCTCTTCGATGACCCTGGACCCCCCAGACCCCACACTGAGCTGGGAGCTATGGACTCGCCCAGCCTGCCCTGAAGCCTGGCCTGGGTTCCAGGGCCCCCAGGAGGGTGCATTCCTTCTAAGGGTCTTCAGAGGTCCCTGTCCCAGCCTGGGCTGATGGGAGATAGGCCCAAGACAGGTAGGAGCTGGAGGCCACCTTCCTAGCCTGACTTGGAGTCTGGGGCAGCCCCTGAGGTGCCCGGACACCACGGCTGAGGTGACTGAGGAGTCGGGGTCTCTGGGCGCCCTCCTCCCTGCCCGCCTTCGGCCGCCGACTTGCTGGTGTTTACGTGTTCCCTGCGGCTTGGCTGGGCTGTGAGGCCTTGACGGGAGAAGTGACCACCTGGCTCCGGCCCCTGCTCCAGGCAAACAGGGTCCTGACTGCCCGCCAGGCCCATGAGGGCTCCCACTTCCTCTGCCAACACCTGGATGGCCTGGGTGAGGCTCAGGGGCTGGAGTGGGGAGGCCGGCCCTGGCCCAGGGGGTGCGGGTCTAAGGGGGGAGACCTGGTCCTGGCCTAGGGGCTTGGATGTGGTGAGAGGTCCTGTCCAGTCCCAGGGAGAAATGGTGCCTAGTCTAAAGGGGGAGGCCCAGCCTCGTCCTGGGTTCACGTATCCTGAGGAGGGAGGGCCGGCCTTCATCAGGGAGGCATCCAGTTGGATTTGGAAGGCCTGGCCCTGCCTGGGGACACAGTCCAAAGGAGCAGCACAGCCCTATCTCAGGGTCCATCTGAAGGGAAGGCAGCAGTAAGTCTGAGGAGGAAGCAGCACCATCCTGTGGGTGCCCAGTCTGAGGGGAAGGCACAGCTCTGTCCTAGGGGTGCCCAGTGGAATGTTTTAGGGTGAGTGGGCCTCCTGGACTTGACTTCAGAAGCCTCCAGAGGGTCTGAGCTGGAAGATGGGCCCTGGGGCCCAGCTGGCCTGTGGGGTGGACGGATCAGTTGCCCTGAAGGCCCAGTGGTCTGGAGGTCCCATGGCTCTGAGCCTGGGGAGGATCCTGGGAGGGGTTTGGGGTCTGTCCTGCATGAATCTCCTTCCCCCAGCCGGTGCCTCATCCAGGGTCCTCCCTGACAGCACCCCCCCCTTCTCTCTACCGGGCAACCTGCGTCCCCTGACCCTGTGACCTCCATATTCCAGTGGGGACTCTAAGGGGAACTCCAGGACTTCCAGCATCCATGGGCAGCCCTGCTGCTCAGCTTGGCTCAGTGGCCCTTCTGGTCCAGCCCTGTGCCCCTCGCACCATCTCGAGCAAGTCACACCACGTGGAACTCCAGGGGTGCACCAGGCTTCTGGACAGTTGTCTGCCCTGCCTACCATCTGGAAGGTCAGGCGGGGCTAGGCCTGATGCTGCTCAGATTGTGCCCATGCCACCCACCGTGGTCCTGGCCTCATGACCCCTTGCCTAGCCCATAGCGAGGGGGTGTTGGAGGTGGGGAGCACTTCCTGGACACCGAGTCCATGGAGAACAGGACAGTCTGAACTGGAGATGATGGGAGGGAGGGCCAGGCTGGGGCCGCAGCTTGTGCAGAGGCCCAGAGGTGGGCCTCCTTCAGGTCCTAGGAAGAAGCCCAGTCTGGCCAGAGCACAGGATTGCAGCTGGGCCAAGGAAGGCCTCTGCCATTCTAGGACCCAAGACTGGGCTGGGCTAGGCTGGGCAGGGGCCGAGGAAGGTGGGGATGCTTAGTGACCGTCTCAGGTCCATAGTGAGTGGCGGAGTCCTGCAGATTCCCACCAGCCAGCCCCCTGGGCTCAGACCCCTGGCTCCCCGGCAGTTCCTGAGCCAGAGTAGAGACCCTGGCCGACCTTCCAGTGGATGGCCCTGGCACTCCCCCTGTACCTCCTGTCTGGTCGCTAGAGATGTGTCAGATCCAGGCTGAGGGATGGGGTCCTATGTGGAGGGCTCCCCGAGTGTCCCAGCCTCCAAGGGGCACAGCATGGTCACTGGACAGGCCAGAAGGGCCTGTAGCAGGGCCTCAGTTTTGGGGTGTGTGGCCAGGAACCCGAAGGATCTGTTGTCAGCCCTGGGTAGACAGTGACTGGGGGTTAGGTGGGGAGTTGGCTTAGGGGAGCCTGGGACAAAGGCAGCCTGGGTCACTGTGTGAGAGCAAACGAGCTTCCCTAACCCCAGACAGTGTGCCTCTCCCAGGCCCTTTCTGCTGGGCAGTGCCCTGACCCCAGTGACTGGCCCACAGTTGCTAGACCCCCTCCAGAGGGGACACTCCAGGACTCCCCCACAGCTCCCAGCCCCGCCCCTCCTGCAGCGACTGAGTCCCCAGCTCAGGCCACAGGAAGCCACACACTGCTTCCTTTTCCTTTTTTTTCTTTCTTGTTTCGTCCCCCCAGCCCAGCCATGAGTGGGCAGCCACCAACCATCTGTCTCTCGGTCCATTTATCTGCCCTAGGTCCATATGTCCAGCCCTTGGGTCCCATCACATGACTGTCTCCCACTCCTCCTGCAACACGGCGGGGGGCTGCTCTGGCCCAGAGGCCTCATCCAGCCCCGAGCAGGAGCCGTTGAGGAAGCCGTTATCCTTGGAAGTGGCCGCAGCTGGTGGTGTGGTCTGGAGGGCCGGGGCCGCTGGCTTGGTGTGGCTAGGCAGCTGGGGGTGGCCGTTGGTGGTGGCAGCGGGCAGCAGGCGGGGGCTGAGGGGCAGGCCGAGCCCTGCGCGGGAGCCTACGTTGGTCACACTTGTGTGAGACACCATGGGGCCATAGCTGTAGCTGCTGCTCCCGCTGCGTGCCTTGCGCTTGAAATCCAGTGCCAGCGTCCAGCGGCTCCAGGACTTCTTGATCTCAGCCTGCACCTGGGGTGGCAGGAGCAGGGCAGCCATCAGGTGTGCCCCTGACCCCTCTGCCACCCATCACCCCAACCCCAGCAGTGTCCCCATTCCTGCTCCTACGACACTCGGCACTGGGTGGAGACAGAGGCAGGGGGGTATTGCTGGAAAATTCCAAGACCGAGTAAAACCCCATCGTGCTCAGAACGTGGTGTCAGGCTGCAGGCAGTTGACACACCCAGAATTTACACGGCTCAGATGGCTCCAAGGGTGGCTGAGTCGTTCATCTGGATTACAGAGAACTCAGCCGTGGGGCTGGGAAGACACTGGGGTGTGCCAGAGATTGATGAGCCCACAAATCCTAGCACGAAGCCTGAGCCTGAATCATCTGGAAAGATTTCTCTGCCTTCAGAATGTTCTTGGAAGAACAAGACTTGGGGAACCCCCTGGCGCTTTTGTGTTCTCCCTGTCTCGCCCCACTGCAGTCCTCTGCTTACCTCGCCATTGCAGAAACAGTATATGATGGCGACAAAAAATCCCTGTGGAAAGAGGCATGGGGTCAGGGCCCAGGGCCCGGAGCCCGTGTCTGGAGAGGGGAAGCAGCGCCCCACCCCCAGCCAGGCCAGCGCTGCGCACCTGGAAGGAGTTGAAGAGCATCTCGTAGTGCATCTGGACTTGCCAGAGCGTCCCTGAGACCTCAGTGTACGGCGTGGCCATGAAGACGATGTAGTGGACGCCAAAGAGCGGCATGAGCACCAGTGTGGATTTGAGCAGCTTCCTGGGCCAGCAGGGAAGGCAGGTCAGGGCTGCGCCACCTCCCCCTGGACAGGCTCACTGCCACCCCTTCACTCCCACCCTGCCAGCCCTGGGCTCCAGACGCCACTAAGGGGCCTGAAGCTCTGGCCACCAGCAGAGGACAAGCCAATTCACCTAGGAAAACACTTAGTTGTCTCAGCAAAGTGTTCCTAGGGCGCCTTGGTTCTGAGGTGTCCTGGGTGGACCATAAATTATACAGTCCCCTGCTGCAGGGCCCTCTGCACCTGCTTAGCCCTCTGCTGGCACTTGTCACTCCCCCACCCCCCACCTCACCTCACAGCTCATCTGCACCTTCTCCAGGCCACACTGCCCACCTGTCCCTCAGACTCCCTGTGGCCAGCTCTTTGAGGAGAGGTCTGGGTTTGTCCTGCCCTTGCAACGCCCCCCCAGCTCTAGTGCAGCACCTGGCACCTGAGAAGCCCCGGATGGCTTTGGGGAGTCCCCAAGGCCTGCAGAGGCCAGGAGAGAGTCCGTCACTTTGGGGTGGGGCCAGCCAGGGAGTCAGGAGGTGGGTCCTTCCCTTGAAACAGGCTCAGTCTCGGAGCCTCCGTCTTTGCTTTTGTACAAGGCGCTGCGCTTGGATAACCTCCGAACTCTGAAGAGCGTGGGCATGGTGGGGTGCTCACCGGTACTGCTGCCGAGTGTCACACCGGCCGGCATTGGTCTCCCGCAGCTTGGTAGCCAGCACCCGCACGATGTTGATGAACAGGATGAAGTTGAGCTGTGGGAGTGAGGGACGGCTGAGTCTCCACGTCCCAGCCGGGCGGGGGCAAGGATGCCAGGCGCCGCCCCGCTCTGCCGCTGCACCTCCAGGGGGCTCCACGGGCCCTCGGTTTCCCCGTCTGGACCGGGATGGGGATCAGCTGCTTCTCAGGCCTTGTGGCTCTGACCCTGGGGTCCAGGGAAGCTTCTACAGGTCCCTGCCAGGGGCTAATTACTGGGTTCTGTGACCCCCACCCCCAGCCCCGGGGCCAGCCCTGCTCACCACAATGGAGGCCAGGATGGGCACCTGGATGATCCACTTCTTGTTCCCGGAGCTTAAGTCCCAGCACCTGGGGGAGGTTGAGGCATCAGCCCTCACCCCCTTCGTTCCCACCCAGAGCCTGCCCACAGAGAGAGGTCCCAGGGCTGGTCTTCTCTGAAATTAGTTCTTGAGGAGACAGGACAGGGTGTGTTGGGTGTGGCCAAACTTGAGGCCACCCTCAGTCTTCTTTTGAGATAGCCTCTCATAACCCTGAGGGCGGTACCTGGCTCCAAGCCATACTGAAAATTCCTGAAGCTAGGGCCACTCAGGGCCAGGGTACAGGAGGCCCCTGACATACTTCACGGAGGAAGAGGGTACCAGGGCTGTTTCTGGCCTGTTACTCGGGCCCCCTTCTCCACTTGGACCTACCCGGTGTTGGCCAGGGTAGCTCTCACACTGACCCACACAGCCACGAAGATGGCGGGCAGACCTGCGTGCACAGAGGGGACAGTGTGAGGGACTGCAGATGCTATTCAGAATGTCTCTCCTCACCCCACCATGCCAGTCCCATTCCGCTCATCCCTGATGACCCCCAGCTTACCCCATTTCTGTCCCCGCCCCCCCTCACCCTGGGCAATAAGCTGCTGGGTGACAGCAGGTGCTTCCCTGCTGCCCCAGCAGCCTCCTCTCAGGGCTCAGGGCCCGTTCAGCCCTCTCCCCCATCTTGATTCTGCATCTCACACCCACACAATCCCACCTGTGGGGCACGTGGTGAAACGTGAAACTTATCAGAAACAGCCGGTCCAGGCTATTCCTCCTCCCCTCCCCTGAAGGGCACTGCTCTGGGATGGGGGTTTCCTGTGGCGGAGGGAGCCTCTTACCAGCATTTTTCTGTCCCAGCACGGCCCCCACCCCCGCCCCACTTTAAAAGGTCCTAGCCACCACGGATGAGGCTGGATGGACGGAGAGCTGTCATTTTAGCTGGGTAACGGGCCACAGGGGAACCTTGGTGTGCCCAGGCCAAAGCCAGCTCAGATGGCACATGGTACCTCTGGGTGAGCTCTGACTCTAGAAGGGGAGCCCAGGTCCCCACCCTCCATCCCCCTCACACTTCATTCTAGGCCTGAGTACCTCTGGGAGGGGGAGGGAGTGACCGGGTTTATGATGAGAAAAGAGCTGTGACATTCCCGTGCCACAGTCACAAAGTTCCCTGTGCTCTCCATTGGTGCGGCCCCCCCCCCGCCCCAGACACTGTCTAGCCCCAGAGCCTGCCTCAATTCCTCGGGCCAGGCCTAGGTCTCCCCCAACTCTGGGGCTTGCCATGGGTGAGGCCAAGTTAGGGTGTGTGCCAAGGAGAGAGAGACTGTGGCTGTTGATCTCAGGGCCTCTGGGTGCTGAGAACTGAGAGGGCTCGAGCCACCAGACCTACCCCTCTGCAGTCTGGCCAGTTGCCCAGAGCCCAGCCAAGCTCTGGAGCTGCCAACAATAATGGACAATTATCAGTAACTTGATCCTGGAGCCCAAGGGGGAGGAGAGCAGAGCCCCAGCTACCCATTCTGCAGAGGGGCTGCACAAGCCCGGATGAAGCTGAGAGCTGGGACCACAGACCCTGTGGGCAGCTCCACACAGCGAGGGGACTGGTGTTCACAGTCATGGTTCAGGGGGGGAGGGTCCCAGATCCCAACTCCAGCTCCAGGTTGACCTCTGACCCAAGATCCCACTCTGATCCTAAGCTGAACCTTGACCTGAGAGTTCTCCCCCTCTCCTGGGCTGAACCCCAACTCCAGACTGAGCCTATTCCAGGTGAACCCTACCCAGCCAAGCTGTTCCCTGAGCCTGGGATGAGGTCAGAGTCACAGAAGGGTGTGCAGGCTGCCCACCTGCTGCCCCACATCCGGGGCAGGATATGCTGCGTGGGTGCCTTAGCCTCAGGGGTGCCCTCTGGCCCTGTCACCCATGGTCCCACACTGCCTGCTGCTCCCGGCCCCTCCGCCTGCATACCCCAGCCGAAGGCTGTGAAGCCCCACAGGTACTTCTTCTCAGAGAAGAAGGCCATGAAGATGAGGCTGTGTAGGTACAGCCCCTCCACCAGGATCCAGTAGTAGTTGGTGGCCAGGAAGTAAAGGAAGAAGGTCACGGCCACCCGGCAGCCAGCCTAGGGGACAGCTGCTGTTAGCCAGAGGGTAGGGCCTGCGTCTGGGGAGCGGGGTCCGAGTGGAGAGGGAGTGGGTGGCAGAGGGGGGAGAGGACAAGTGGTGCTAGTGAAGCCCCCAGGAAGGGGTGGCTCTGGTCCAGGCCCCCGACCAAGGGGAGGGGCCGGGGATGCAGTCGGGGCAGGAGGGCTCGAGACAGTGGCAGAGGGCAAGGTGAAGAAGTGGGTGGTTGGCAGGCACAGGGCTGAGGCTCGAGTGCTGCCGGGAGTGGGGGACACTCACAAAGCCCCCGGCGGTAGGGGCTGGAAGCCCGGCCGGCGGGTGAGCGGCCTGAAGCCCGCGCTGGCAGCAG